CGTCTTTTTTTCTTTCGTGGAAATTTGACCGGTGAAATGTATTTGGAATTACTGGACGACGCCATAGATCCTGCATTAGCAGCCATAATTGAAAATCAGAGTGATCGGCGGTACATTGCGAATAGGTTGATTATCTAACATGACGGTACCACACCACATTATGCATTACATGTTCGACAATACTTAGATCAGACGTTTCCAGATCGATGGATTGGTAGAAGAGATGCCATCGAATGGCGCCCAAGATCGCCAGATTTATCACCTTTAGATTTCTTTAAGTGGGGTCATTTAAAATGCAAAATCTATGCTACTCAGCCAACATCATTAGAATACCTGCGACAAAGAACTGTGAATGACTTCAAATTACTCCTCAAATATTGCAAAATGTGCGGCAACGTTTTGAGCAAAATTTTTATTATTGCATGGAGAGCCATGGTGGCCATTTTCAACATTTACTTGCCTAACGTGTCAGTTCAATCTTCATTTTTAAATTACTTTGCTGCCAAATGTATTGATCTCCACTAATGATGATGTATTAGTATTAATTAAGCTTTAAATCAATAAATCTTCAAAACTACTTAACTGAAGCTCATGTATTTTACATCATTATAAAGGGAATTGAAACACCTTTAAAATAAGGTATCACTCGACCCCCCTTTCCATTGAAGATTTTAGGGTTAGTGTCACCCCCGCATAGGGGGCTGCATGTATTAACGTGATTTCTTGTCAAACTTGTGTCCCCATCGAAAACAAAATCGACGGGTCTGGGCGTTTTTCCAAAAAAAAACTGAGCTGCCAGTAATGCGTCTGTTTCGTTTTCGCTGCGCCATCCTGTATATTTTTGTACACTATACCTTACCCATACACCTGTCAAGAAGCTTCGGAGGTGCATATTAGCACCTTCAATAATTTCTTTCTTCAGAACTTCGAAGACAAGGAATAGGTATCGGGGATATTGGACCAAGAAATAGCAGCAAATGATTGCGGTACGTCAAGGAGTAAGTATTGTTATTTTAATTTTTATGATTATGGTATAGCCATTCACCAATTCCTCTATATGCATCGTGCCATTGAAATAGTGATATGGTAATCCATATCCTGACTGTCGTGATGGGACTGTGGTGGACAAGTCAGCTGCAACTTATGCACCATAACCTAACACATACAACCTTTTCTTTGAGTATCTAGATCAACGTATGTCCTAAAATTCTTATCACATTCATTCGCTTTAATTTTAACAAACACAAAATAATATCAAGTTGCCTTTGGCAACCAGAGTTTGTTTACTCACTTCACTGTCAGTTAATATTTAATTTTTGCTTTAAGACGTCGTATAAATTAGAAATAAGAAAAATATCTACAAGCTGGTTGGCGGGTACCCTAAGCTGAGATCTGTCCAATATTCCAGAATGAAAACATCTCACTACGAGCTATACTAAGTGACATATAAATCGGAACACCCAGTTTGAATGGTTTTATTTTAATAAAAGTGAATGTATTTACCTTACTGTAAATTAAAAGTGAAAAAATTTTCAGCCTTATCAGTTGGACATTCCGGTTTTTATACTGCTTTTTTTTTAATTCACTAACGCTCTAAAAATGAATATTTCAGCCGCAGTAAAGAATCAACGTTGGCGGATTTTGGTTCTTGACATCCTTTATGATCGGTTACGATGCCTACAGTACGGAGACCTGTACGATTTCGTCAATTTAGTGAGTTTGATAGGGGCCGTATAGTGGGACTTCGGGAAGCTGGACTTTCTTTTCGGGCAATTGCAGTTAGAGTGCAAAGAAGTGTAGACACTGTGGTTAGGTGTTGTCAGGCATGGCTTCGAGAAGGCCGTACGCAAAGAGCAAGGGGCACTAGACGCCGCCGTATAACAACAGACCGTGAAGATCGCCGCCTAAGATTATTGGCCTTAAGGGACCGTTTCTCCACAACCAGGTCCATTACAAATGAATGGTTTGCACAACACGGAAGACCTATTGGCGTGCGAAGTGTTTACCGACGAATGAGAAGTTTTGGCTTGTTTTCATACCGGCCACACTGGGTCCTCCCCTTAACTCGAGAACACCGACGTAATCGCCTTGAGTGGTGCAGACAACCGTCACTCTGGGATCAGGAATGGAACAGTATTGTCTTTAGTGACGAGTCTCGATTTTGTTTTGGCATGCACGATGGTCGTGCCAGCGTTAGAAGGCGACGTGGTGAAAGGAGGAATCCACAGTTTTTTTGTTTAAAGACATGTTCATCACACTGTTGGAGTTATGGTTTGGGGTGCTATAGCTTATGGTTCCAGGTCACCTTTAATCTTCATCAGAGGTAACATGAACGCGCAGCGTTATAGCCACGAAGTTGTAGAACCCCATCTTTTACCATATCTTGAACCCTGGCAGATCCAACTTTCCAACAAGATAATGCCCGACCACATGTTGCAAGAGTCACAATAGACTTCTTTCAACATAATGATGTCACATTGTTACCATGGCCATCAAGATCTACCGACTTATCTCCAATTGAGCACGTGTGGGATATGATGGGTAGGAGATTGCTCAATTTGCAACGTCCTCCTCAGGCTCTAGAAGCACTTCGAGAGGAGTTGGTGGTTGCCTGGAATGAGATACCACAGGAGGACATTGATCACCTGATCAGAAGCATGCCTAGGCGCGTTGGAGAATGCGTAGCTCATCAGGGTGCATCCACGCATTATTAAAGGTCAAAGGGCTTCAAAGCAGTGCAATCATTTTGAAATTTTTATCATTTACTTATTATGCTTCATTAAGTACTTATACAAAATTTTATTAAAATAAAACCATTTAAACTGGGTGTTCGGATTTATATGTCACTTAGTATATTTATCGATCCATAGCGGAGTGCGAGCTGGGAATATCATTTCTGAATCTCCCAAAAAGTGGAATACCAGGTGCACTTACTGCACAGAGGTCAGAGAGATTGGTGAGAAGAGACTTAAGTGCCCCAAATGCTCTCAAACACAACTCCTTTACATACCAAGTTGCTGTCGTCAATTGAGTGTTCACCTTGTCAATGGAAAAATTATTATTTAAGATGACGAGAAGTATTTCACTTTGAGCAATTCTGAAATGAAGGGAAACGACGGATTTTATACCAACAACGCAGCGGAAGGCACGGACAATGTTAGATACAAACATATAGCGAAATTTGCAGATAAAATCCTTGTCTAGTGCGCAATTTCTAACAGGAGTGTAATCCAACCTTTTGTGGGAAGAGTAGGGGGTGAAGCTTTAAATAATTAGAGTTATATTGATAACTGCCTTTCCAAATTCCTTTAGTTTGTCCACGAACATCATGCTATTGACCATATCATGTTTGGGCCAGACCTCATCGTGCCATTACTCAAGAGATACCCAAAACTCTCGTCGACGACATGGGTATCCTTTGTTCCCAAAAACGATGATCCTCCTTACTGTCTAAGAAGGTTTATCATGGAGGCTGGAAAGACCAAGATGGAGAACAATAAATTAAGACATCGAATTTACGAAGAACCTGATTGAATTCCGTCCAGGACCTCATGAGAGACATTCAAAGAAAGTTGCGTCTGGTAGAGCAGAAAGGGTCACTCCATATAATTAGTTAGTATAGTTTAGTTGTAATTTATGATAAATAGTTAGTGTTCAAATAAAGTTCTTCGAAATCCGATGAGTATTTTGTGCCAAATGGTATAATCAATTGATCTCTGATCAAACAGCGCGAAGTGCATGGACGATTAGCACCCTGTACAAATTCTATTTCAGCCACAATGGGCTTCTAAATCCCATCATGAAGGGCAATTAAGGGAACTATAAAGCCATTAATAGCAGTCACGATTAGAGGGCTAATCAGTCAGGCCGTTTGACGCGGTCGTCCCTCATTCCGACGCGTCAACGGCATCCACATACGACTCGGCAGCCATCAACTGTCAACTGTCGTAGAGGTCGCGCTCCTGCCGCCGGGAATTATTTCCTAAGAAGCAATTAGCGTAATCTAGGATACATCAATCTGATCCAGTCGACGGCGCAGAACTATTGCCGCAGCGTCAGGATGGTGACACGCAGAATGTATCTTGACAGCAACTCTAAATGGTGCAACGTCGATTGTAATGGTTCGGCGCGAATTTCTGAATACAATAAGGGCTCGCGCAGACAGACAAGCGTTAAGCCGCGTTCGTCCAGCTGATTCCTCTAAGGCCCGGTTTTTCAATCGCAAGTTAACTTTTTGGTTAGTTAACTATCGCCAGGAAGTTAACTCGTAGTTACTTGCAAATGCGTTTTTCAAGTATTTTGACAGCGTCAGTCAACTTACCAGAAGTTCAACATATATTTATGTTACAGCCCTGTATCTGCGGTTCTTAGATATCGTGTTCTATGCGTTTTGTGCGCTCGGCATCTGTGTCCCGTGTCATACATGACAGTCCGATTCAGTTAAAATTTCTTAAAATAGCCAAAATCGAAATCCGGAAATTTCATTAAAAACGAATAAAACATAAAACCTTCGTCAAGCAAGGTAAGTTTTTTCAAACATTGCTCGTACAAATGTTTAGTAGTTGACCCTATAGACGGCATTATATAAATGGTGATAAAAAAGGTTGCAAATGCAATGTCTAATGAACCATACTAAGTTCAAAAAACGATTAAGTTATAAATATCTGCTGAATATCGTATTTTCCACCTTTTTTAACATCACTCCTATAATCTACAATCCAATAATAAAGGGGATACACAATACCTCTATTCTTGTTGCTAAAATTTCTCAAAAACTGTTTTCTAGCATGGAGAAAGAGATCAAAAAGGGAGCTCAAAATTTCTCGAAGAATGAGGAAATGATGCTAATATCATAGGTGAGTAAAAATAAAGATGTAATAGAGAGCAAAACATGTGGCACAGTTACGTGGAAACGGAAAGGTTCAGTATGGCAGAGACATCGAACAACAATTCCAAGCCCTAGCAGGGTGCCACCGAGAGGCAAAAACTCTACGAGATAAATATTTCAATTTAAAGAAAAAAACAAAAAGCAAAGTTGCTACAAACAAAAGCAACATAATCAAGACACAATTACAAGAAATAATGGGACCACAATTAGAAGGTTTGACAAACAATTATGATGATGACTGTAGTGACCAAAAAGAGGTGGTTACTGAACATGGTAAGTCTCATTGCTGTTTATTGAAGCATTTCTTTAATTATTGATTTTTCAGTTCCTGATGCAAATAACTGTGATGACAGTGAAGTGGTCTTCAATAATGGGAAATGGAGCTCCTACACTCCCCAACAACCGAAGAGGCCCAAAACTACAAAGCTATCATGTACGAAAACAATACAAAATAAAAAATATATTTCTGTTAACTATCTACTAATGGAGGAAAAGCTGAATTTTTTGAAACTACAAAACGAAAAACTCATCGAAGAACACAATAAAAAAATGGAAATATATGTAAAAAAAAGGTTCAGCCGTTAGATTTACAGATCAACGCATTGGATAAGTAGAAAACAGAGGATTTGTTTTGTTAATTTTTGGAATATTTTCACTTTCACTCATTTTTTTTTATATTTGGCATTTTTGAGGATAATATGTTAGTTTAATAATAAACTGTTTCCAGAAAATCATGTTTATTTTCATTCTGTAGTTACAATAAATAGGGGATAAGTCATATGTCAAGTAGATGAGAGCTATGGTTAAAACTTTAGGTGTCCAAAAAGATCGACTGAGTGCCCATTTTGAGGCTTGGGACATCTATTTTCAAAGGCCCTGTGCGCCTTTTTTGGGCAACAACACTTTTGGCCACGACTCTTATCCACTTGCCATGGATTATCACAGATCTTATACTAAACAACTTTCATCTAGTATCGAGTCATTCACTGAGCATCAGTGAATGTATTGAATCGATTTACAAATTTGCAAAATAATTATTAATAGGGTTCTAACATTGTTGATTGCATTTTGTGGCAACTTAATATTTACAGGATCCGTCTTCGCATTATCTACGTGATATTCGTTAACGACGCCGACTTTGTTTCTAATTTAGATTATTTGCCACCTTTTGGCAAGTCTGACCACTGTTCACTTTTATCTTCTCTCCAGTTCAATATAAATAGTCGTTCTACAACCGATAAGTTTAAAACCATCAAAATTGTAAACCACGATGCTCTTAACCAAGCCCTGTCTGAAGTGAACTGGCCTGCTTTGCTTAACAACCGTAGCACCCAAGATATATGGGACACTTTCGCTCAACGAGTCCTAAGCGAAACGGCTGACAATACTGTTGAAAAGAAGGTATACTGTGACCCCTCAAAGCCCTGGATCAACTCTAACATATCGAGGATGCTTCGTCACAAGAGATCTTTGTGGCAACGGTTTAGGAGGAGTAGCCATTCACAAGATTACGTGTCTCATCGATAATTTTCTAACCTCCTATCTAGAACGTTGCATAATGCCAAACATGCTTATGAACGAAAACTCGTTACCTCCAAAAATAAGAAGAAGCTGTTTCGGTATCTAAGAACAAACCGGAATTCCAAAGTTTCATCACCTCAGATCCGCGACGCTGGCGGTCATCTCCACATGGATGCCACCGAATCTGCCAACTTACTGGCTGAGTCCTTTAGTGATGACTTCGTCGATGAGCCTAATGGAGACCTTTTACCGACCACTATCTGCCATAGGTGTCCCAACAGCCTTTGCGAAGTTGAGTTCCTGCCTGAAGATGTATTAATGCACCTGCGAAATCTGAAGACCTCTTCCTCCCCTGGCCCTACCATTAAACTTGATATTCACATCATCTTTTAGATCTCATACCCTACCCTCATGCTGGCTTAGTGCTTCTGTTACCCCTGTATTCAAAAAGGGCGACAAATCCTCCGCTAAAAATTATCGACCAATAAGTCTCGTTCCTATCGCCGCCAAAATAGCTGAAAGAATCATATTAGATAAGCTCCTGTCATTTGCTTTCGAAAATGACCTTATCCCTAAGAATCAGCATGGATCTCTCCCTGGTCGATCAATAATGACCAACCTTCTCCACTCTCTCAACGATTGGACTCTGGACACCAAGACTCCTGTTGATATAATCTACTTAGATTTTTCTAGGGCTTTCGATCGCGTACCACATAGAAGGCTTCTGTTTAAGTTGGAATGTATGGGAATAAGAGGCGAGTTATTACTGTGGATTAAGGCTTTTCTCACCGGGAGGACTTTCTCTGTGCGCGTCAGTGATAGCCAGTCTCACCTTCATCATGTAGCAAGTCTCTGTCTTGGGGCCAGTGCTGTTCCTTCTGTATACAAGTGACCTGCCCGCATTGACTTCCTCCACATGTTCAGCTTATGCCGACGACACCAAGATTTACAATACTGTCGTAAATTCTGCTATGCTTCAACGAGATCTTGATATTGTTTGTCAATGGTCAGTCAGTTGGCTTTTACCCTTAAATCTAACTAAGTGTTGTGTCCTTCACCTCGGGAAGACAAATCCGCGATTTACATACAAGATCTCTGACCACAACATCAAAGCAGTTTCCAGACACACTGATCTGGGAGTTGTAGTCAACGATCGTCTTTCCTGGTCAGAGTATATTCACCACGTTACATCAAAAGCCAAGAAACTTCTATACATGCTGGAGAGGTCTTTCAAAGGATCCAATATCAACACTTGCGCCTACATTTACAAGGCATTCGTGAGGCCAATTCTTGAATTCGCTGGCCCGGTATGGGACACTGTGCTGCTGCGCGATAGAAATCTCGTCGAATCAGTACAGCGTCGGGCTACTCGTATCCCTTTTGGAGCACGAAGACCAAGCCATGAAGATCGTCTTGAATTATTCAACCTGACCTCATTCTCTGAGCGAAGACTTCGTGGCGATCTTATAGTTACATTCAGGATACTTCATGGTTTGATGGGCACCAACCTCATGCATCTATACCGTCCGTCGCGCAGCAATCTACGCGGACACAGCTTCAAACTGCACAAGGAGCCATTTAAAACAACAGTCCGACAGTGGTTTCTTCCCAACCGCATATTCAACACCTGGAATAGTTTACCTGAAAGTGTGGTTGGTGCTACTTCAGTTAATAGCTTCAAAGTGCAGTATGATAGCTGGAGGAGTGTACAAACTTTATAGCTATGAACTGTCTTTTTTTATTTTTTTCTATTTGATGTATTTGTGTTACGTGTTCGTACACAATATTTACTGCATGAGCTTATAGTACTGTGTACTCTGCTCTTCTCAATTATCACAATAATGATAATAATAATAATGAGCCATGTAAATAGCATTTTCCTGTTCAGGACTAATAGGGGGCATAGCTTCATTATTAGGACAAGCGATATTATGTAGCACTGCTGTTCCTAGAGTAACTGCTTAAGCTGTATATAGATGAACTCTGACACCCATAGCTAGACATGGAAATCTTCTTTTCCAAATTCCATAGCTTCTCTCTATAACATTGCGACTACGAATGATAGGTTCATTGTATAATTCTTCAGTTCAGTTGTAGTTGTATTTAATGGTGTCATCAAATGGCGTTTGATAGGATAACCTTTGTCACCAGCCAACAAAGAGTTTCCAAAGTGACCTGATTCAAATTGTCTGCAGTCGAAAATATATGAATCTACATACGTCAGAAACAGTTCAATGAAAAAAACTGCTTTCGATTTCTGAAGAGCTTTGCATGGCTTCCTCGCTTATATATGCGTGCAGTCAATTGCACCTATGCATCGAGGAAACCTAGCTATGTTATTTATAAAAGGATTGCTTTGCCATGGCAACAGCCTTGAGAGTGTCCGGCATTTTTATGTAATTACTTATTTTACTCGTTAGTACTTTTAAGAATCTTCGAACTGTTTTGGATGCAGTTGATTTGGAAACCCCAGCAAAATGTCCAGCAACAGTTAAAAAACTTCCATTGCGCAGTGCTAAAAACAGCTGCTGTTGGGGCCTTAAGCAGTTATTCCTGGAATGACAAAGTCATGTAAAAATATGGAAATAAACAATAATATATACATCTACCTGCTTGTAGGATATACTGAATCTTCATAGACTTCGTCCAGGAGAGTTTATACAGTCCTTTTTGTAGGACGAAATCTTGCAAGGAAATCGAGGTCATCAAATTCATCAAAGTAATTCGACCGATGGCGGATTATTTTTGGCCTTCTCGCGTCTTCTTCACTGCTATATACGCATTCACGTCGTAATGCATAAACATGTTTATAGCTTAAATTAATCGATAGATTGATATGGATTTGTTGTGATTTTTTGTATAAACATCAAAGTTTATGTCAAAAAACGTCAGGTGTTGCTATTTAACTACAGCCTTTCTAGTTAACTCATAGATGGTCTACTGGTTAAAGTTAACTTCCGTTTTACTATAAACATGACATTGAAAAACGGGTTTTCATAAATAACTGTAAGTTAAGACCAAAGTCGTAGTTAACCTGCGATTGAAAACCCGGGCCTTAAGGGTTCTAACACAGACAAGAGGCAGTCACGGACACTACGTTCGATTTTACGAAGATTACATGTAGTTCGAACACGTATTTCAATAACGCGTCTTCAGAAGACGAAATATTGCTTTTGTGAGGTTTAGAAGAGTCTAATAAGAAAAGAAAGTACTGGGTGCATCCGACTAATTTTGAGATACATGAAAAAGGAGAGTTGTCCTTTTTCCTGCATTGCTTGAAGATGAAGAACGATTTTTTAATTTTCTTCCGAATGTCATTAAGCAGTTTTAATGAATTGCACGATTATATAAAAAAAGGAAATAGAAAACAACACACCAACTGGAAAACGGCGATATCTATAAAGAAAGTTTAGCAATATTTACCCATTTCCCTGGCTATTTCAAGCCAGGCTGCATTTTTTTAACTATTTTACAGTCTAAGATTATACAGGGTGTCCGCAAAGTTGGGGTTTTCCTTTTCAGAAACAACTACCCTTGAAATAACAAAGGTAATGTGTAGTGAAACGAGGGCGACTAAGTAAAAAAACATAAAGGAAAAAGTACTCACTCTCCAGTTGACGAGAAGGGCTAAGTACGTCTCTGCCCGAAATCATACCGCTCCAACAGAAAATGAAATCAGCCGATGCGCTACCGAGCAGACGCAGAAACCACATTGATTGTCTTACATTTAATGGCACATCTTCTAACAAGGAAGGCAAAATGTTGCGTAAAAAGTCTAGGTATTGCATCCCGTCCAATCGATTTGGGAGAATAAATGGTCCAATGAGCATACCGTTCACCATGCCAGCCCAAACATTCACCGAAAATGTTTGTTGAAAATGTGCCCGACGGACAGCGTGCGGATTTTCTACTGACCAAACATGAGTGTTGCGAAAGTTATTATATTATTACGCGTGAACGTAGATTCGTCTGTCACCAATATGTACTTCAAAAAGTCAGGATTATTGTCATGTTGATGCAACAGCCACTCACAAAACCGCACTCTTGCTGGAAAATCGTCAGGTTGAAGGGCTTGTACACGTTGGACGTGAAACGTATACAGCCCCTCTTCACGCAGCGTTTGCCACACTTCAGTTTTTCT